CATGTTTTTAGTGGAGATTTGATTGATAGATGATTAAAATATAATGTGAAGTTTTTAAAATTAATGTGGGATAGAAATATATTTCAGTAGATTTCTTATTCACGTGTTATACGAAGACCTGCAAATAAAAAATATATATTTATCGTGATTATTTAGTCTTTATTGTGCATAATTTTGTATTTATTGATACACTGTGAGCCACCCAAAATGCAACATCTTGAAGGAAGCATCCATACCACGTGAAATGTTTCTTTTGTTTATATCGCGATTGGATTTACGATGTAGAAATGATTAGCATTTCACCGCAGACATACATCATGGGTGCCTGTAGTGCCACCAACAAGACATATATATATATGAACAGAGAACGCAGTAACGATTTGAAGCTCATAGATATGCTTTTTTCGTGCGGTTGTTTTGCGCGCGTAGTTTCAATATGTCTCGAGGAAAAATATGAGCGTTATTCTATCACGCTTCTAAGTTCTATCGAAGAAAAATTGCTGCCAACAGAAAATATGGATTATCGAAAGAAATCGGTGATCGTATCGGAAGTAATAAGCAACAGTGATGCGAATCTATAATTGATGGATGCTGGAGGGAACAACTGACCGACAACACCAGCCTCGTTGCACCACTATATGTGATGATAGGCATATTATGCGTGCGACTACGTGCGATGGTCGTCTTTGCCCCATAATAAACCATCTCACTGTTTGTTGCACAACAAACGATGTCCGCACGTACATCAGTCAATTCAATGGCAGCAGAGTGGAATGTTCGCAAGATATTACTGGGTTTACCTTTGTCTAAAAACATAGGCATAGTGCATTGAACGACGTACATGAACAACCGAAAGGAACGACAATGTATTTACAGACGAATCATACTTCTGCCTCCAATGTGACGATGGTCGGTTTGGAGTTTGATGACAACATGATAGTAGTTGCTTAACTAAGCCTTTTACAATGCCGTATTGGTCCTGCTCTTGGTATTACAGTTTGAGGTGGTATCGGATTTCACTCCCGCTCTCTCTAATAAGCATTTCCAGTACAATGACCAGCCAGGGCTATAAATCTGAGGTTTGGTAGCCTGTTGTGGCAATATTCACACTGAACAATGAGAGACCACACGCAGTACTCAATGCTCAAGACTTCTTATTCACCTACCAGATTAAATTGCAGCCTTGACCCGCCTGTTCTCACGACCGATTGCCTATCGAACATGTCCGGTCGATGATTGGAAAATGCTTGGTCCAGCATATACCAGAAGCTGCTACAGCAGATCAAATTTGGCATTATTTGGAGGCAGCAGAGTGGCGCTTCTCTTTGTCCAATGACAATTCCCATGTACGAGTGGGATGCTGACGTGGTGATAGATCTAATTGGGTATCATCTGTGGAAAGCCCCATCACTGTGTGACATCGTAGTTTGGTGCGCCACCGCGTACGATAGCAAGTTTTCTCTGGTTCATAATCATGGTACTATGATGGGCTTAACGATACGTGGACGATGTTCTGCGGCTCGTGGTACTCCTTTTTCTTCAGAGGAGAGATGCTAAATGCCCTTCATTCGCTGGATAACGCTCAACCGCATACTACACACATCAGCCAATATGCTCTGCATGAAATGTAGATTTTTCTATAGCCCTTATTTTTCCTGATCTCCCATCAACTGAACACGTCTAGGACGTGAACTGATGCCACTTGTATGTTCGGCCACCACTGCATCCAGAAGAAGAATTGTGGCAAATAATTAACAGAAAATGGAGAGCCATTCCCCAAGACGCTAGCCGTACTCTCATTGTCTCTGTGCCTAAACATGTTGCTTTGTGTATCGCTGACCACAGTGGTATTTTAGCCTACTGTTCTGACGATATTCTCACTCTGTGTTACGAGTATCATTTCAATCACTATATTGGTTTTTCGTTGTTATTTTATGCCAAATTTCTTCAATTCACGTAGCGTGTTTGAATTTTTTGATAACGAATGAAAAAAAAACACACACACATATATATGACGGCATTTTATAAATTTTAACAAAGGTTAATAACTTCAAATCTAGTTATTTGACTTAATTTATACATATATTAGTCAACAGGTTTAATTTTAGATATTATGTACTAATTTGAGAAGAATGCGTAACAAAGAAAGTAATGTGTTTTTCTACAAATATAAGGTTTAATGCTCTATTGCGATTCTGGATGAATATATTTAAGCTTTTATTAAAGTGTTCGTATATATACATACATACAAAGAGAGAAAGGGAGAGAGAGAGAGAGAGAATGGGAAGATAATGTGTTTTGATTTTTTAATCGCAAAATTATATTTGATTAAATTATTCCTTTTTTTTAAGCATCATAATTAAGATTTGAGGGGGCAGATATTTATCCGTTTGATTATTTGAGGTCTATTAATTATTTCGGATTGAGATACCTTTTCTATTGATTAATTTTAAGAGGACTTGGTACCCCAAAAATGACAGGCGTATCGTTTTTTTTTTATTTTTATTTAATCTTATTCTTTGCATTATTATCTTTCGATTGATATATCACTTGTGCATGTTGGAAAGTTAGAAGTTGAATAAAACTTCATTTGAAAACAAATTAGGCAATACAGCCACGCCCCTTTTTTTAGAAAAAAAAAGCGTTTTGATAAAAAAAAAATCTATTTTATAAAGAGGAAAAACAACTATAAAAAAAGAATGTGTAATATATAAAGCAGAATATTACCGAGCCAATATAATAATGTCATTTTTTTTCTTTGTGAAATGTGTGCGTGTAAAATTTTTGAATTAAAGAATTTTATATTATTAATTTCATAATTTCAGTTCTTATTCCTGATATGTTTTTCATACAAATGTAATACTTCAATATTATAAGAAGAAAAAAACTAAAATTTCTGTCGTGACAGAAAAAAAATTTTTTTAACATTTTTATGAATTTTCTTTTGCAATTAATACTCTCTAAAAATTGATTATTTATAAAAATGTATGGGTTGAAAAAATATGAAAATGCAATTCTTTTAAAGAAAAATATATAACTGATATCTTAAAGCGGTATTTTAAGTTAATTTAAGCTTATTATAGTTATTTTTTCAGAATTATAAACTTTAAAGTGCTTTTCTCAGTTTGTGTTTTTCGAAACATTAGTGCATTCAAAATGCTACTCCTTCCATAACTATTTACCAATCACTTCCATTTTTTTCCTGTGTGTTGCATATAAAGTATGTAACAAAATTAGGAATCCATTTTGCTGTAAGCTGAACATTTTTTTAAAAAAAAAAATTAAAATATAAGAAATATTGGCTTTTTTGTTGAATTTTAGCATACATATCAAAATTTTATTTTTTTTCTCAAAATCGAATTAAGTTATTGTAAAGCCGATCCCTAAAGTTGTTTGGAACATCTATAAGAATATTATAAAAAAATTTCAGGTAAAAAATTTTATAATTTCAAGGAGTAGGATTTTAAAATTTTCCAAATTTTCTTCAAAAAAATTTAATTTTAAAAATTGTGTGAATAATTTGTGAAAAATTTCATCTTGTATGATTTTCTTGAATAGAAACATTATATAAAATGCTAAAATATAATTTTTAAATACATAAATAAATAAAGTTTTTCAAAGGGTACCAAGTCCTCTTAATCCACAGTAACCGACGGATCCTGGTCAAGAGTTTTGTGATCGTCTATGTTTTAGCCAAGCTTCGGATTCGTCTCCTGATTCCACTTAAAGATCTGTCTTCTGAAATAATGAAAGCTAATGCATATTAAAGGGAACTGAGATTGAAAGTCTTCACAGGGAATGGGAAGAGGCTGAGAGAGAATTCAAGTGTTCTCGAAAATTAAGAGGTCCATCACTTATCTCTAATGTGATGTTAAAACTAAATTAATTCTGTTATTATATATCGATAGTGTTAGATTTAGAGGAGTTGAAAGGGCATGTGTTTAATTAAATAGAAATGTCTTTTCCGTATAGATAGCTGTATTACAAATGATCAAACCTAAGATTTGCTAGGGTAGTAATTTTCTTTTAAATAATACTGAAGAACCAATTGACATTTAAATATAGGTGTTTCAATACATAAAAGGTAATTTATATTATTTCAATAACCTTTTTGAAATATTTGATAATCAAGTTTTAGAATTCAAACAGTTTTATTTTAATTTTTAGACTTTCTACTCCTTAAGTAATTTTTTTTATTTATATAGATCAGATTTGTGATTTTATAATGATGAATTCAGTCTCCATATTAATATTAATTAAAAAAGCATTTGAAGTTTAAAACGGGAAAATTTTTTTTTTGAAGTTATACTTGTTTTGAGGTGTTAGAGAAATAGGATGAGGGTAAATTTTTACGATGCAGTTTACAGATGTGACGCAAACCCGTCGCGGTTGCGAAAACGTTTTGTCTAGAAATAATCAGAACGGGACAGATCATTGACGCCTTCGAAATTCTCAGGAAAATATTTCTCCTCACTTCCGTGAAGAAGGGGCAACCCGAGTTAGAACCGGAGACCTCTCGATGTGCAGTCGAATGCCTTACCACTGCACTAAACACCCGCGTCAGCGAACCCTTGCTTTGCCTTCCTTAGGAACGGATACGAAAATGCTTTGTCCAGAAATATTCAGAAAGGGACAGATCATTACCGCCTTCGAAATCCTCAAAAAAACACTTCTCTTCACTTACCTGAAGAGGACACCCGGGTTTGAACAGGGAACTCTCGATCTGCAGTCGAATGCTCTACCACTGAGCTATAAAAGCTTTTATTAAAGACCATAAAGACTGAGCTAACGCGAAGTTATAGCTCAGTGGTAAAGCATTCGACTGCAGATCTAGTGGTCCCGGTTCAAACCAGGGAATTCCCTTCTTCAGGGAAGTTGGAAGAAATTTTTTTCTTGAGGATTTTGAAGGCGGGAATGTGATCTGTCCCATTCTGTATATTTCTAGACAAAGCATTTTCGTATCCGTTCCTACGGAACGCAGAGCAAAGGCTCTCTGACACGGGTGTATAGCTCAGTGGTAGAGCATTCGATTGCTGATCGAGAGGCCCCGGTTCAAACATGTGTGCCCTCTTCTTCAGGGAAGTGAAGCGAGCATTTTTCTGAGAATTTCGAAGGCGGGAATGATCTGTCCCGTTCTGTATATTTCTAGACAAAGCATTTTCGCATCCATGACGGTGTGCGCGCGCATCGTGAAAACTTACCCTCATCCTTCTTCCCTAACGCCCCAAAAGAAGTATAACTTCAAAAAATCAGTTCATTTATATTAGAAATTATGACGCTTTATACAAAGGGAAATGTTCTTTTCCTTTTAGTATATTATGATCAAAAATATCAAAATCGATTTTTTAAGCGCTTATCTTAGTTATGCAGTATTTCATAGTTCCGAAATTTTTATGAATAGTAAAATAAAAAAAAAAAATTGAATCAAAGATTAAACTGATTAGCTACCAGAGAATAAAACTCTGACAAAAAAGTCTTGGTTTTTTTTAAATGAAAGAAATGGAACAAAGGAATCTTTTATTTCTCAGAAATCATTCGCTTTGTGTGTTTCAACAAAGATTTTTAAAACACGATATGTTATCTTAGTTATTAGGTGGAACAATCTTTAAAATGAAAATCCTTTGATATACTAACAATGTAAAAGAGAGAGCGATTTTACACTTCCGAGTTATCATTTCTTTACTTATTGGAATCAGGAGTTTTGAAACAGAAAATTTATCTGTTAACGCATATTGGTATTCAAAATCAAGATAATTTTCACTTTCAGGTTAATTATCTCTCAAAGTACAGATCAGATTTTAATGAAATTAAATACATACATAGGTTGACCCAATTCATAAAAATTCCATATTATAGTTATAATATTGCATTGTTTATATATTCTATCTCAATGGAGAAAAAGCTCTAAAAAATTTATTAGATGAAACTAAAAATTGTTCACACACAATAGGTCTTTTCGTACAGTTACATAAACTTCATTTAGCGAATTCCCTCTCAATAAGAGACACTTTACAGTTCTACTGTTGTTGGTCCCATTCTTCAGCACTGAACGGTTTAAGGTCATGAACGGTTGTGAGTGGGGAATGACGAGTTGAAATTTTCTACATTCCCTAGAGTATTCAATAGGGATTAGATATGGAGATCTGGATGGTCAGTCTACCCTGAGTGAATGACCCATAAAGACCAATATCACCAAAAATGGTTTAGAGTAACAATATTGCTTCTCCAGGAAAAAACGTGTGGCCATGGTTGTCTAGTGGTTATGGTCACGAGCTCCTGGCTAGCGTGTTATGAACTCGAGCTCTAATGTCTCTGAAGACCTGTCGTGTAGAGAGGCTGATGCTTGTTAAATCTGTCGAGGCCCAAAGTGATCTAGTTGGGATGGTGTGGTTGCTTAGAAAGGGAGGTGCCAGCTCAGGTGTCATCCTCATCACTTGACCAAGGTAGAAAATTACGAGGTCCGTCACCAATTGCCTTCGGATTGTTTTATAGTGTGGCCCTAATAAACACTCACTTTCCCGGGAAAAGACGAGCACCTCAGCACTTCGAAGAAGATAACGGGTGCTAGCCCTTTAGTCAGCATTTTGGAAATGTTATTCAATTTGGTATATGATCTAAATTATTTGTGTGTGTGAGTGTGTATTTCTTTTTTCATTATTTAAAGTGAGTTTTGGAAAAAGTCATTCAAATTCTTTTCGAAAATGGGTCAATTAAAGCATTTTTATAGTTTTAAAAATTGGATTTGGAATTAATATCGTTCTGAAGCTGTGTTATTATTAGCAACGAACCAAGTTTTGAGAACCAAATAAGTAGTGAGAATGATATTCAGGCATGTATATTTTGCCATTTTTGAAGTTATATTTCTTTTGGGGTGTTAGAGAAATAGGATGAGGGTAAATTTTTACAATTCATGCACACACCGTCACAGATGTAACGCAAACCCGTCACGCATGCGAAAACACTTTGTCTAGAAATAAACAGAACGGGACAGATCATTCCCGCCTTCGAAATTCTCAAAATAACATTTCTCTTCACTTACCTGAAGAAGAGGACACCCGGGTTTGAACCGGGAACTCTCGTTCTGCAGTCGAATGCTCTACCACTGAGCTATACCCCCCGTGCCTGCGAACCTTTGCTTTGCGCTGATTTGTGACGCCACTATTAGTAGGGAAAGATCGTCCTTTGCCTACGGAGCTTCTCTGATGCATTTTATTGAACACTTTTTGTTATTAAACCAAACATACTTACAGGAAATTAAAAAAATAATAATAAATTAATCTTTAAATTGTGTTTCATATACATAAAACACATTTGTGTAAATATTAGTTTACCTATTTAAATAACAATTGCAAGTATATGATTAGAGATGTATTTACTACGAACGCGTTGCGATGAACATAAACACATTTATTACATTGTAGCAAATTATGAGAGCCTTATGTATTCGTATATTTCTTTTTGAAGTTATACTTCTTTTTGGGGAAAAATGATGAGGGTAAATTTTTACGATGCGTGCGCATGCCTTCACGACACCGATGCGCGCGCACACCGTTGTCTAATATTTTAACATGACACTTTTTTGGTGCTATGGGACTGATATTTGGGGGATCATAATAACTATTGTTATAAACCATATCTGTTGGGACGCATCCCCCCCCTCTACAGCTTTTTGGCCAATATCTCTTCACCCGAGCCTCACAGTCCATTCGGACTTGGCTCATTCGATCCCTCTCTATCTGCTCTTCCAGATATTATAACATCATGCTCATAGGGATATTTCTTCCATAGTTTTTAATTGTCTTAAACTTTTTAAATTTGTTTAAATTCACAATATCTTGGCTCTTGTTCGAGTCTCGGACTTGAACCAAGTGTTCTACTCGTCGAGACCCATCTAGTCATCTGCTTCATTCCCATTGTGTAGGCATGGGGAGGCTTAAGCAGTATAATATCATGCTCCCATGTTAATCCTATGGGGACATAAGAAATTCCACCCCCCTAAGGAATTGTTTACCCATATTTAACATTTAAAATTTATTTTAGTTATAATTTTTTTAAATCTCGCATAGCTCCGAGGATTTTTGAGATTCATTAATGAAACTTGGACCATAGGTTCTCCTCGTTGATCTGTTTCATCTGTTATAATTCGTGTATAGACAGTGGGCTTAGGGGGGCGTTATCACTAAAATTAGAGAATCCCCATGTTATTCCTATGAGGTTCGATCTTTTGATGACGTAACGATATTACAGAGATAGAAGGATGAATCTTTGGGATCACCTACTACTCTGTATATCGTTGGGATGTACGTGACCATTTACGTCACAGTTACCCCCCTGGGGGGAGTTAGTTGCATTTTCCTTTCCCGAGCTAGCACCGCCCCATTTGCAACTACAGACTCGGGACCAGTTCGAATGGATTTCTTTTATGTTTACTCACAACCAGTCCCAGTTTTGAGTTGCTGGGTGCCCTGCTTCTATTTCATTTAATTATTTTAAATGTTTTAATTATTTTAAAAAAGACCATAACTCGGGGGCTCTTCAGGCAGATGTCTTAATTTTCTCAGGAACGATTCTTCCCACTGAGACATTCAATGTGAGGTCTCAGGTGTCACATTCGGCTTAACTCATCTCCGGGTACAGTCTACCGAACCCCCCCCCATGTTATTGGTCCTATTGTCCCTGTGCGGGGGTGTTTAAATTTATTTAAATCGTGGTTATCTCAGATTTGGTTGGTCCGATTGACTGAAGGTTAGTGTCGTTCAACTCTGCTCTTGACTGCCTTTCGTCCTTGGTCCAGCTTGTCCTTCTAAAGAATTTTAGAAAGATTTTAATATTGTTACACCAAAGAAGTATAACTTCTTGCGTGCTTACATAAGTACACACACACTTTTTTTCTATATATAAGACAGACCTTCCATAGACAACGAGTGCACTAGCAAAAAATTCATTAAAAGTCCAGTTAACTTGCAAAATGTGCTAGATGTATGTATTGGAAGCATATAGTAGTATGGATTACTTCCTAGCCACGACACGTGAAGACCTTGAGGTCGAAATAAGTTTAAGTTGTTTTAACCCTCGTTATTTTGTAAGATGCTTGTCCGAAAAAAAATCTGAAAACCACTTCCTTTTGGCTCCCGTCCTTATTTCCCACCTTAAGAGTTATTTCTAAATATATCTTTGATCTGGAAACTTACATATGATTCCTTAAAGTAATAAAAATACCAAAATAGATGTAATAATTTCTAAAAAACCTTCATTAGTTTTTGCTTTTTTAATTGAACTTTATTTTTTTCTTTTGAATGCATATTCACTAGTCTAACACCCTAAATTTCATCCTATCACTTTTTAATTTTTGATGGTCCTTTCCTTCAGGACTCGCGTTTAAATATTTAACTAGCTTACCCGAATTACTGGGATTTAAAAGTAATCGTATCTTAAAAATTAACGGCTTACATCTTTTAAAAGTAAGATTGCGTCAGAAACTATCGAGAGATAGCTTTCCGTCAATCACAGCCTCCGTAAGAAGTCATGCGGGATTTGCCGCCTCATATAAACAGCCAAAGATCCTTGTCTCTTTCTCGTCTTTTTGTCTTCATCGTATCTAATCAGCTGCAGCTAGTGTATTTGTGTTTTGTGTCTTCTTGTCGCAGAAACGCATAATGTCATCCAGTATTTTTATACATGTGTGTGTAATTAGTAATTAAAGTTGGATGCTAGTTAAGGAGATGTTTCTTTGTATTGAATAATTCCATCACTACAGCAACTACAACCTGGATAATGAAATACATAAAATCACCTCACTCGCCACCATTACATATATTTATATACATAAACTTAAAAGATTTTTTCGAAGTTTATTTGTTAATTAATGCGCTTTATAGAATAATTTTCAAATTATGTACTTTTCAGAATAGTTTTCAAATTTACAAATGAAATAATTTATTTGAGGAAGCTTTATCTATATAGAATAAACAATTCGAAAAACTAAATTACCAATATTTTTTAATTCAACTGTAATTCTATCCAAAATTATTTAAAAGAAATTCTGAGAGGAAAAATGACAAAATGCTTC